AGTAGTCGTTGTGTTAATAGTCGTGGTAGTGATTGTAGTGGTAGTAGTAGTAGTAGTAGTGGTAGTAGTAGTAGTAGTAGTAGTAGTAGTCGTAGTAGTCGTAGTAGTAGTCGTAGTAGTAGTAGTAGTAGTAGTAGTAGTCGTCGTAGTAGTAGTAGTGGTAGTGGTAGTGGTTGTGGTGGCAGTGGTCGTTTTAGTTTTGGTGGTAGTGTTGGGGGTAGCAGTAGTCGTCGTAGTGGTAGTAACAGTCGCACTAGTGGTGGTATTGTAGTATTCGAAGTAACCGTAGTATCATTAGGATCCGCAGTTGTGTTGCCTCTTCTATTTTTACACAATCTCACGAGCCAGACGACTAACATGTTTACTTGTAGTTAACAAGGCTATTGCCATCATAGCGGAGTCTACGATTCCACTGTTTCCTGAACAACATTTTGAACAAACTCGTCCACAGTAGACTAAGGCATGTCCGAACAAAAGACATAACCAACATGCTAACCCATTCCCAAACAATAGCCGAAGCCACACCTGACCCACGAAGCAGTCGCCTAATCTCTATCATAACCAACATCCCGAACAATATCCATAACATTACCTAAACAAAATCCTGAACAATATCCTCAGCACTATCCTTCGTAATAACATGAGCACCACCCTCATATTTTTTCTCGACCGTATTGTGTACTCAGCCGTATCCTGAAACCTAGCAGAACAAATGTCCCAAACCAATAGCTTAGACTAACCTGGGGCATGATCAATGCCAATCGCCGCCTCCTAAACAACATACTGAACAATATCCAGATCGATATCTTCAAACTGTATTAGTATTACTTTCCAACACATTTCTCTAAGTACCATCTTAAACAATATACTGCGTCGTGTAGTGTGCACCCCTCTGACGTTTAGTGCGGGTATCGCTTGTGTCTCCCAGGTTGAGCTGCGTGCAGAAATTGTTTCTGTGGCTGAAGTGCGGGTAGCTCTTGTGTCTCTAGGATATGCGCGTAGCGCTTGTCTCTCTGAGCTTTAAGTGCGTGTCGCCTACCTGTCTCCAGGGTGCAAAGGCGCACGGCGGGCCGCTCATGGTGGCCCCGCTCGCTCGCGCAGGGGCCCAGGCAGGTCTGTGCACTGCCTGCCTGCGCTGCGGCGGCAGCCGGGAGACCTCGGTGGCCGTGCTGACCACTGCCTGTCCGCGCTGGCGAGCGCGCCTGCCAGCGCGCGGACGGGCGTTGCTGCTCCCGGGAGGCCTGCGCTGCGCCGGCGGCAGCGCGGCCGACTTCACAGGGCTGGCTGCGCCCCGCAGCGCACAGCTCCCCAAGGTGCCCGACTATAAGGTCCGTAGCCATTTTGGCTCAAGCCATTGCCAAGGTTGCGCGCGTGCGAGCTTGTTGTCGCCCCTTGTTTGTCTCTCTACTGTCATTCGGTGATCAGCACGCATATCGAAATAGCAGCCAAGAGAACTCGGCGCGTGAAGGGGCTGCGCTACCCCCCCAAAAAAATGACCGACTATAAGGGGGCTCCGCGCAGGGCGTGGGCGATCGCGCCTGCCGCCCGCACTGCCAACGAGTGCGCGCGCTGCGTGGGCGTGGCCCCCGGGCCCGAGAATGTGCCCAGAAGGCCGAACTCCAGGACGAACCGCCAGATTGAAACAATCAGATCCTCGGATCTCTGGGCATTGCATCGGGTCCAGACCCTTTCCCCAGGGCTAGTTTGCCACCCCGAAGGTCAGCGCCCACCAAACCACCCCAACCCAACCCGAAGGCCACGATCTGCCCTCCATTTCCAGTGTGGGGGGGTCGGGGAACATCGAAAAAACACATGGAGCCCGAACCCCCCCAACCCGAAATTCGGTTCAAATTCGGGTCTTCCGGTTGGGTTGGGGTGGTCTGGTAGGTCGTCAGAAGGCGGCTCCGATGGAGGCCGAAAGACCGAGGAGAAACGCCCGGACGGACAGGCCAGATCCTCGGAGGTCTGGTCGGCGGCGGGCTCAGGGGGGACGGCGAGGAGGGGCGGGCCTTTTTCAGAGTCGGGGGCGGCAGAGAGGGGGGACGGATGGTTTGGCGGTGGTCTCAGGGCGGGGGCCATGACGCCTCCCCAGATTTCGTGGCGCCTCTTCTTATTCAGGAGGGGAAAAAAACACACAGACACAATTCATCGGCGATTCCCGGAAAATATGGGAAAATATGGGAAGTGGGGGGGAAGACAAAAACCCAGGACATATGGGAAAATATGGGGAATCTTTTTATTTCCCAACCATCCTGTGGTGTTGGGTCCTCGTTTTGAAGAGACGGTGCCCCGCGTTACCTCCTTCTCCTCCTCCCGCTGCCCCCTCCCTCCTGCCATCATCATCATCATCATCATCATCATCATCATCGTCATCATCATCATCGTCATCATCAACATCACCATGATATTCGGCGTCATCATCAGCATCACCCTCCGCATGTCTCTATTCCGGCACACCAATCACACGGTTCGTGGCCCCATAGGGAGCTCCACCGAAGGCTTCAGTGGCAGGGTTCGCATGGCGGCCCCGCCTCATTTTGGCGCACCCCTCACACGGTTCGTGGCCCCATAGGAAGCCCCACCGAAGGCCCCAGTGGCAGGGTTCGCATGGCGGCCCCGCCCATTTTGGCGCACCCCTCAGGAGGATCGTGGCCCCATAGGGAGCTCCACCGAAGGCCTCAGTGGCAGGGTTCGCATGGCGGCCCCGCCTCATTTTGGCGCACCCCTCACACGGTTCGTGGCCCCATAGGGAGCTCCACCGAAGGCCTCAGTGGCAGGGTTCGCATGGCGGCCCCGCCTCACTTTGGCGCACCCCTCACACGGTTCGTGGCCCCATAGGGAGCTCCACCGAAGGCCCCAGTGGCAGGGTTCGCATGGCGGCCCCGCCGCATTTTGGCGCACCCCTCACACGGTTCGTGGCCCCATAGGGAACTCCACCGAAGGCCCCAGTGGCAGGGTTCGCATGGCGGCCCCGCCCCATTTTGGCGCAACCCTCACACGGTTCGTGGCCCCATAGGGAGCTCCACCGAAGGCCCCAGTGGCAGGGTTCGCATGGCGGCCCCGCCCCATTTTGGCGCACCCCTCACACGGTTCGTGGCCCCATAGGGAGCTCCACCGAAGGCCCCAGTGGCAGGGTTCGCATGGCGGCCCCGCCTCATTTTGGCGCACCCCTCACACGGTTCGTTGCCCCATAGGGAGCTCCACCGAAGGCCCCAGTGGCAGGGTTCGCATGGCGGCCCCGCCCCATTTTGGCGCACCCCTCACACGGTTCGTGGCCCCATAGGGAGCTCCACTAAAGGCTTCAGTGGCAGGGTTCGCATGGCGGCCCCGCCCCATTTTGGCGCACCCCTCACACGGTTCGTGGCCCCATAGGGAGCTCCACCGAAGGCCCCAGTGGCAGGGTTCGCATGGCGGCCCCGCCCCATTTTGGCGCACCCCTCACACGGTTCGTGGCCCCATAGGGAGCTCCACCGAAGGCCCCAGTGGCAGGGTTCGCATGGCGGCCCCGCCTCATTTTGGCGCACCCCTCACACGGTTCGTGGCCCCATAGGGAGCTCCACCGAAGGCCCCAGTGGCAGGGTTCGCATGGCGGCCCCGCCTCATTTTGGCGCACCCCTCACACGGTTCGTGGCCCCATAGGGAGCTCCACCGAAGGCCTCAGTGGCAGGGTTCGCATGGCGGCCCCGCCCCATATTGGCGCAGCCCTCACACGGTTCGTGGCCCCGCAGGGACACAGAGAGCTCCACCGAAGGCCCCAGTGGCAGGGTTCGCATGGCGGCCCCGCCCCAGTGTGGCGCACCCCTCACACGGTTCGTGGCCACATTGGGAATTCTTTTTGCTTCGTCCCACCTGCCCTGCGGTATTCACGTTTGCATATGGTTGGGTCCTTCGCCAGGATAATTGTGTGTATTTATTTGCGTGTCCCAGTTCCCCTTCACTTGTTTCAATGCTTCCCAAGCCCCCCCTTTGGCCGCGCACGTGCCGCCGGCCGTAACTTGCGCGCTCCCCCTCCTGGGCGCCCCCCTGCTGAATGCCCTCGGCAGAAGGCTCGCAAGTCCCCCGGCCTTCCGAGGAGTTGTCTGAGCCTTCCCCGAGCACGCAGGAGACCTGTCAGAAGGCGCGAGGCCTTCTGAGAAGCCCCAGCGCCATCTTAGGAGCCCTTTTCCCTCTCCCCTCCACCCCGAGCCAGGGAGCAGGGCGACCGGGTCTCGGCATCCCCAGGGCCGCAGCGCGCTCGCAGAGCTTGGCGGCGGGCCAGGGGGAAGAGGAGGAGGAGGAGGAGGACGAGGAGGAGGAGGAGGAGGAGGAGGAGGAGGAGGCGGAGGAGGAGGAGGAGGAGGATCCCCGAAGAGGAGGCGGAGGAGGAGAAGGAGGAGGAGGAGGAGGAGGAGGAGGAGCAGGAACAGGAACAGGATGAGGAGGAGAACGAGGAGGAAACGGAGGAGGAGGAAGAGGAGGAGGAGGAGGTGCAGGATGATGTTGATGATGGTGATGATGCTGATGATGATGATGATGATGATGATGATGATGCTGATGCTGATGCTGATGCTGATGCTGATGCTGATCCTGATCCTGATGATGATGATGATGATGACGATGATGATGATGATGATGATGATGCTGCTGCTGATGATGATGATGATGATGATGATGATGATGCTGACCATGATGATGATGAGGAGGAGGACGATGATGATGCTGATGATGGCGATGACGATGATAATGATGCTGATGATGCTGATGATGCTGATGATGATGATGATGATGATGCTGATGATGATGATGATGCTGATGCTGATGATGATGCTGCTGCTGCTGATGCTGATGTTGTTGTTGATGCTGCTGCTGATGATGATGATGATGATGATGATGATGATGATGATGATGATGCTGATGATGGTGGTGGTGGTGGTGGTGGTGATGATGATGATGATGATGATGATGATGATGGTGATGATGATGAGGAGGAGGAGGAGGAGGAGGAGGAGGAGGAGGAGGAGGAGGAAGAGAAAAGGAAGAAGACGGTGAGGTCTACCCGTGCCCCGCGGCAACCAGCTTGTGCAAACGACGCAGCCCCAATGGCGGGCCGGCCCGAGGAGCAGCAGCTCTGGGCCGACAGCGCCCGGTTCCTCGACGAGACGGGCGCGGCCATGGCCGAGATCGAGGAGCCCATCGGCCCTAAGGGGCCCTCAAGTACTCCTCTAGGGCCGGTTTCTCCACCCCCCAATTTGGGTCACCCCCCCTTACCACCCGCCCGAGGGTCGTGAGCCACGCGCAGAGAGGGGGTTCACCTCGCCAGCCACGCGCGATGTCGGCCGCGGGGGGAGGGAATGATTATCTATTCGTTGCGGTTTCGGTGCGGTGCTGAAGGCATCGCTCCGCTAAATTCTCCCCCGCGATTTGTTTGGTGTCGCTGCTAATGATAACACACTAGGAGTTCTTAATTGCTTCGCTTCAGGAGATTCAGGGGGAGGGGGGAAGGTTTCTTAGAAGGAGGCTGCTTCTTATTGAAGGCGCGGGCTTTGTCTGCATATGTAGGGCCCGCCTCCCCCATTCCCCCTACCCCTCTGAGCGCGCCGTCAAGGTCGTGCATGCCTACAACCTGGAGGATCGAAACGGGCTGTTACGGAGAGACTGGCGACGAACACCAACAGCAGTTCCTGCCCATTTCGAACAGGACTCGTTGTCGGTGCCGCCGCGGGCGTTATTCGCCTGAGGCAGAAAGTCGCCGGCCCAACAGCGACCGCTGTCAGTTTTAGACAGCTTTGCTTCTTGTTGTGCATCGTGCCCATGTTTTCCGTCCTTCTCGGGCGTCCAGATACAGGATGATGACAGATCGTTCCAGTCCAGGCTGCTCAAGCGGTCCCGAAGTAGCTGGGGTCGGTGGATCGCGCTGCGTCGCCGATGTGCCAGCGATGCGGCTCGATGTGAAGCCCGATTCTCTCCACGCCTCAGTTGCCGATCCATCGCCTCAGTCGCCGATGCATCGCCGATGCACGGGCGGTGCATCGGCGATGGGGCGCGGTCCTCCGTCTCCCTCTGAGCGGCGCCAAAACACGGGATATCCTTCGACGTTGGCGCGCAAGCTGCTCGCGCCCAACAGAGGTCATGCGTCGGTGCCCTCGTCTCCGAGGCGGCGTGCCGCGCGGGCGGCCCGCGTGAGCCGCGGCGTTCAGGTCGTGTTAAGCTGGGCCTGTCCCCCTACAGGGGAATTTTCGAGGAAGAGTTTAAACTAGTCCACAACTACGCCAAAATGGTCAACACAAATACTAAAAATAGTCCCCAGACTATGTTTTCACCATTTTTGAATGTCCCCCCTGTAGAGAGACAGAACCGACTTAAAGGTCGCGGTGCCATCTCGCGTAGGAGGAGGAGGAGGAGGAGGAGGAGGAGGAGGAGGAGGAGGAGGAGGAGGAGGAGGGAGGGAGGGAGGAGGAGGGGGAGGAGGGAGGAGGGGGAGGGGAGGAGGAGAGGAGGAGGAGGAGGAGGAAGGAGGAGGAGGAGGGGAGGTAGGAGGAGGAGGAGGAGGAGGAGAGGAGGAGGAGGAGAGGAGGAGGAGGAGGAGGAGGAGGAGGAGGAGGAGGAGGAGGAGGAGGAGGAGGAGGAGGGGAGGGAGGAGGAGGAGGAGGAGGAGGAGGAGGAGGAGGAGGGTGGTGGAGGAGGAGGAGGAGGAGGAGGGGGATGGAGGAGGAGGAGGAGGAGTAGGAGGAGGAGGAGGAGGAGGAGGAGGAGGAGGGAGGGAGGGAGGGAGGGAGGGAGGGAGGGAGGGAGGGAGGGAGGGAGGGAGGAGAGGGAGGGAGGGAGGGAGGGAGGGAGGAGGGAGGGAGGGGGGCGGGAGGGAGGGAGGGAGGGAGGGAGGGAGGACGAGGGAGGAGGGAGGGAGGGGGGGAGGGAGGGGGAGGAGAGGAGGGAGGGTGGGGAGGAGAGGAGGAGGAGGAGGGGGAGGGAGGAGGAGGAGGTGGAGGAGGAGGAGGAGGGGAGGAGGAGGATGGAGGAGGAGAGGAGGAGGGAGGAGGGAGGAGGAGGAGGAGGAGGAGGAGGAGGAGGAGGAGGAGGAGGAGCAGGAGGAGGAAGAGAGGAGGAGGAGGAGGAGGAGGAGGAGGAGGAGGAGAGGAGGAGGGAGGAGGAGGAGGAGGAGGAGGAGGAGGAGCAGGAGGAGGAGGAGGAGGAGGAGGAGGAGGAGGAGGAGGGAGGAGGGAGGAGGGAGGAGGGGGGGGAGGATGGGGACGGAGGAGGAGCAGTGGAGCGTCGGATCCCCTGGGCCTTCCTCGTCGAGGCGCTGCGGCCTCCACGCCATGCCCCCCCCCGTGGGTGCCCGGGCGATCGCTCCCCAGAGGAGCTCGCGCGCGACGCCCGCGCTGGCTCCTCGCTTCGCTCAGGGGCTTCGTTGCGGCCCCCCGCGCGCGGAGGCCTCCGGGGGGCCCTCGCCGCGCCGCAGGGGCCGTCAGCACAGGCCCACGAGCCGCCAGAGGCGCACCCCCCCCACACACGAGAGCCGTCCCAGTCCTGGTGCGTGTCCCTCTGCAGGAGGCATCTTCAAAGATGGGCGAAGCAACAGTCCGGGGACGAGTTTTCCACGATTCTTGCTTTTTTTTTGGGGGGGGGTGGGGGCATTGTCTGATTGTTCTTCACTTTCCTCCAAAGCCCGCCTGCAGGAGGACATGCCCGACCTAATCCCGGTGGCTGCTCTGAGGGCCCCACGCTCCGCGGATGCCTCCGGAGGCCCGAGAGCTGTGACGCATGAGGCGGCCGGCGCCGAAAGGCAGCGCTGCCTGCATCGGAAACTGGAGCACACGCATTACCCAGACATCGGGCGCCTCGAGAAAATCGAGACGGAGATTTTTCATGGTTTTCGGCCTCTCCAGGCCCTCGCCGGGCCTCGGGACCGTCAAACAACGACTCGGGACGAAAAACCGGCCCCGGGGAAGTGGTCGGGAGGCCGATCGGGGGCCCGTGTCTCGACAAACATCGAGACGTCGGATGTCTGGGTACGGTGGGGGCGTTCGTTGAGGACTGTGCCGAGGATGCTGCGGACCCTGGAGGGTTCCCTGTCTGATGAGGGCGGTGGTGATGTCCATGGCTGATGCACGCTTGGAGTTCCACTGGCTTCTAGACCCTGGGTTCCTTTTCTGAGGGTTCCCGATGCTCCACCGTTCCAGTGGCGGGCTGCTTTTCCATCCCAGGACTTCCTGAGGGTCGGGGACGACGTCGGGGCGGTTTGGTTTTATACATCTTGTTCCACCGCTTTCCCAGCGAAACGAGAAGTGTATGCACCAGGATCTCGAGTACACCAGGATCCACCTTCCTGTGCAATTGTCAGTGCGGGGCCAGAAAAGGGTCGGTGTATGGAGTTCGGCTCGTTACCTTCAGGTCCCACCTCTTCACCGCTGGCTCCCACGACGCCCCCGCTCTGTTGTCTCGTCTGGAGGCCCAGACAGGGCCTTCTGGGAGCCAACCGCGCGCGTGCAGACAGCTGCGCCTGATTATGCTGCTCCATGCTTGTCCTGGGCGCCATAGCCTGCGTGGCCGAGAGCAGTTGCCATGGGCGCCCGAATGAACGTAAATGGCTCTGCCTGGGAGGCTCTTCCAATCCCAGACATCCGGCTGTTCCAATTTTTTCGGTGCGTGGGCCCGGGGAATCGGACCACTTCCCCAGGGCCGGTTTTTCGTCCCGACTCGTTTTTTGACGCTCCCAAGGCCCTGCAAAGGGCCCCAGAGGCCGGAAACGGCAAAAAAGACGCCTGCTCAAATTTTTCTGGAGCGTGGGATCTCTGGGATTCTGCCCCCCCCCGCGCGCGCCCAGGAGCGCTTCCGCACCGAGAGCGTCGCCCAGGCGTGCCGCCAGAGCGACCTGGAGGACGAGCTGCGCGCGGCGCGCGCGCGGCTGCAGGAGGCGCCCAGGGCGCTGAGCGACGCGCGCCAGGCGGTCGAGGCGCCCACGGCCGTCGTCGTCGTCGTCGTCGTCGTCGTCGTCGTCGTCGTCGTCGTCGTCGCCGTCGCCGTCGCCGTCGCCGTCGCCGTCGCCGTCGCCGTCGCCGTCGCCGTCGCCGTCGCCGTCGCCGTCGCCGTCGCCGTCGCCGTCGCCGTCGCCGTCGTCGTCTGTTGCCCCCAGACGGTGACCGGTCAGCGAATGCAGAGGGTATGGTTGCGCCGTTGTGTGGTTTGCGATCGGCACCGCTGGGGCCTGGGGTCGCGCGGCACGGTTCTCGTCGGGCCTCCTCGGGGCTCGGCGGAGAGAGCTCCTGTCGAGGTCCTCGCCCGCCCCCCAGGGTGCCCCCCGCCAGGGTGCCGGGAGCACAGACCACGCCCCCTGCAAGCCACACCCTCTGGAGTCGCCGAAGCACAGCGTGTGGCGAGTCAGGGTGGGTTCGGCGTGGCCGCACGGCTCGGGACTCGGGCCGCTCCGGGGGCGTCTCGGGCGATCGGGCCTCGGAGGTTTCAGCACCGTGCAGGGACGGGCTGTGCGGTGGCTCCGTGAGTCCTCCGGGGATTTTGCGAGGTCGCCGCACGGCCTGTCGCCGCACGGCCCCGGGACCCCCGAGGGGATGCCCACCCAGACAGGGCGACCGAGGAACGCTGCCCTTGGTTTCCTCGACGTCGGCACGCGCGGTGTGCCGGTGCCGTCCCTGGTCGGTCTCGCGGGTGGACGCGCGTTTTGCCAAGCATGCGCTTGGCAGGTCGTGGACGTCGGTTAGCTACAGTCGGGGCGCTGAAGAAGAAGCCCTTTGCGTTGGGGGGGGGCTCCGTGTTCATTAATTGTTCACAGTTTGCCTTCGGCGTTTCCTTATGTTTTCGATGGGGGATCGAAGCTTAAACTACGGAGAAAGGGCCTCGTTCCTTATTCGGGGTTCCTTGGGTCAACGCCCCCACTGTATTCCGCCTGAGTGCGCTCGGAAGGCGGTGCCGCGCACACCCGCCGAGGGCAGCTTTCTTTCTTTCTTCTGGCGGCGTTGTGCCGAAGAGGCGACCGCCACGAGGGCTCGAGAAGGGGTTCGCGGTGCGCGACTCCGCATCCTCCTCGTGCTTGCTTTATGTCGGGCGTGTCCCCCTAGAGGGGGATTTTCGACGACAAAAAACAATACCCCCAAAATACCCCAAAAAGATCAAACGAATACACCAAAAACAGTCCCCTGACTATTTTTGGTCAATTTTTTGATTATTTTGGGGGTATGTTTTATTTTTCGTCGAAAATCCCCCTGTAGGGGGACAGGCCCGACTTAATGCTTGCTCCTCTTCTCAGGGGGGGGGGGGCGGCGCGAGAAAGCGCGTCGTTCTCCGCGCTGCCGCGGGGCGCGACGCTTGAGCATGTCCGCCCTTGCAAGGGGGGGGGCGCTCCTGTCACTCTTTGGGTCTCCCGACGGTCGTTCTGTCCCTGGTGCTGCTGTTCGTTGCCGAGGCTGTGGGGGCGGTCGCTGCACGGCCCCGTGCTGCTTCGTCCCCTGGCAGCTTGCTCTGCCATTGGTGCAAGAGGATGATGATGATGATGATGATGATGATGACGATGACGATGATGATGATGATGATGATGATGATGACGATGACGATGATGATGATGATGATGACGATGATGATGATGATGCTGATGCTGATGATGATGATGATGCTGATGCTGATGATGATGATGATGATGATCATGATGATGATAATGATGATGATGATGCTGATGATGATGATGATGATGATGAGGCTGATGATGATGATGATGATGCTGATGCTGATGCTGATGCTGATGCTGTGATGCTGATGCTGAGCTGATGATGAGCTGATGCTGATGCTGATGCTGATGCTGATGATGATGACGATGACTGATGATGATGATGATGTGATGATTGATGATGATGATGATGATGATGATGATGCTGATGATGATGATGATGATGTGATGAGATGATGATGATGATGATGATGATGTGATGATGATGATGATGATGATGATGATGATGATGATGATGATGATGATGATGATGATGATGAGGAGGAGGAGGAGGAGGAGGGAGGAGGATGAGGAGGAGGATCAGGAGGAGGAGAGAGGATCAGGAGGAGGAGGAGGAACATTATAGTAGTAAAAAGCAGCATAACCATAACACTGAGAATACTATGAAGAGACAGAAGAGAGGAGGAGGAGAGGAGGAGGAGGAGGAGGAGGAGGAGGAGGAGGAGGAGGAGGAGGAGGAGGAGGAGGAGGAGGAGGAGGAGGAGCCTTCCCACGGTCGTGGGGTACACCTTTTTCTCTTTGATCACGCCCTCAGGGCGGCGTCAGGCGACCGCAGGCGCCCCTACCTACCGAAGTGGAGGCGAGAGATGCGATACCGTTGGTAGGATGGCAGCTCGCCCGCTCGCCCACGGCAGTTGGATCATAGACCAGACGTTTTTCTCAGCCACGCTGCAGTAACAGCAGCAACGCTGGGGGAGGCGACAAGGTGAGTGTCAGCCTGGGAAAACATTCTGGCCCCATGGTCATGGCCTGGCCCTTCGCAGGCTATGCTTCTCCCCCAGCCCCCCCACTCTTCGACCCTACGTGAAGCCGCTCAGAAAAGGAGGGAGACCCGTGGATACATCCCCAGGGGGCCATTCGGACGCGTCCTTATCGAGGATGGATGCCCCCCATCGTATATTCCAGGGTTTGGCCCCAGATCTTTGGTCCATTCGAAAACCCGCCAAAGCCTGGGACAGGGGTCGACGTATGCCCTGTTAGGGGAGGCGATGAGATGAGTTCCCGCCTGGAAACCATTCGGGCCCTGAGGGCATGAACTCGGCATCGCTCCAGCCCAGCCCGGGACCACGCTGAACAGGCGGGGGGGCGAGGAGCTTGCAGACAAAGGCGACCGCTGGGGGCCCTGAGCAGTGTGCGACATGTGTTTTTTTTTCACTCCCCCCCCCGCTCGCTCAAGTTTTTCGCCCCCTCCTCTTCCTCCTCCTCGTTGTCCTCCTCCTCTCCGCCCATCCTCGTCTCCATTCGCCGTGCGCGCCCCCCCCCACCTCAACCCTGCCGATGCCCCCCTGGGCATTCCCAGAGACCCAGCCGCGCCAGACGACCTCGATCGTGGCGGCGACACTTCCCAGACCAACGAATCGGAGCACACCAGCAGAGCAATCCCAACTGCTTCGCGCGTGCTCTGTGGCTTGAGCTCTAGACCGGGGATATCTGCCGACACCTGGTGGGCCCAGAGAGAGCTCTCGGGACGGTGAGGGCTCTATAGGACTCCGCCGCCTCGCTGCCGCCCTGGGAGCCTTCGGTGCACATGCATCCTGGGCCCCTGCGACGCAGCCTGGGCCGGGGAGGCGTGGACTGGTCGGAGTCCATGCCTGGGGGAACGAGCACCGACACGGACAGTCAAAAACTCGGAGCTCCGCGCGGCTGCCTCGGAGCGGCGCTGGGGCCCCCTGGAGGCGCCGCCCCGGGCGCGCTCCGCGCGCCAAGGGGGGGGGTGGTGGTCCAGCGCCGCTCCGAGGAACTCCGCGCGGACCTCCGAGTTTTTATGTCCGTGCCACTGCTCGTTCCCCGGATGTCTCTGGTGAGAGCCCCCGCCGGCCCTGGCACACGTTCTGGACGTGAGAGAGTCGGCGGCTGTGCGCTTGGCAAGGGGATGGTGCACGGGTGGGTGCCGGACCGTGCCTTCCTGGGGGGTTGAACCTGAACGCTGCTCTGGGGGGTTTCGGCTGTGTTGTGTTTTTCGTTTTGGGAGGGAGGTGAAGGACAACGGGTGAGGCAAAACGAGCAACAGAACGGCACCAAAACGAAGAACAGCCTTGCGGTCCAGCCCTGTCCACGGGGGGTGCCCGAGCGTGCCGTCTTCGTGCGCCCGTTCTTGGCCCGCGGTGGCAGTTCGGGGGCCGTTCTCGGTCCCCCTCTCAGGGCACTCTTCCTGCAATGCTCCACCGGGCCCGGGCCCCGGGCCCGGGCCAGTGCGACGACCGGCAAGGACGCACGGCTGGACGGACGGACGACGGACGCCGACGCCGACGACGAAGGACGACGACGGCAGTCGACGACGACGACGGCGACGGCCGATGGACACGGACGGAGGACGGCGACGATGACGATGACGACGATGATGACGGACGACGGAGGACGGCGCCGACAGACGAAGACGGCGGATGACGACCCGACTACCCCATGACGATGGACGACGACGACAGACGACGGACGACGGACGGCGGACCACGGACGACGACGACGGTGACGGACGACGACGACGACGACTGACGACGACGACGACGGTGACGGACGACGATCACGACGACGACAGACGACCACGACAGTTACCACGACGGACGACGGACGACGGACGATGACGACGATGACGACGAGGACGACGACAACCGACGACCCACTTCCCAGGACGGACGACGACGACGAGGACGACGACTAGCACGACGAGAATGACGTCGGACGACGACGACGACATTGGCGACGACGACGACGGACGACGGACGACGACGGACGACGATGACGGACGCCGACGGCCGTCGACGACGACGACGACGACGACGACCGACGACGACGACGATGACGGCGGACGACGAAGACGACGACGACGGCCGATGGACAACGGACGACACGACGACGACAATGACGACGACAATGACGACGGCGACGACAACGATGCTTCACGACGAGGAAGACGACGACGGACGTCGGACGTCGACGGTCGACGGATGAAGGACGACGGACGCCGACGACGGCGAATGACGACGACGGCGATGAGTACGATGGTGACGACCGACGACCGACGGCGACGTCGACGACGACGACTACGACGACTACGACGACGACGGCTGACGGCAGAGGGGCGTATCCGACGATGACGAGGACGGACGACGGAAGACGACAAGGACGACGACGGACGGACGGACGGACGACGGACCACGACAGCGACGGACGACGGACTGACGACGACGACGACCGACGATGACGACGACGACGACGGACGACGACGACGGACGACGACGGACGACGACTATGACGACGATTGACGACGGACGACGGACGACGACGACGGCGCAGGACGACGGACGACGCACGACGGACGACGACGACGACGACGTCGTCGACCCGACTACCCGACGACGACGCCGACGCCGACGCAAAGACGATGACGATGGCCACCCGGCTACCTGACGACCCGACAAACAGACGACGGCGACGGAGGCGACGACGGCCGACGGCGGACCACGGACGACGACGACGACGACGACGACGACGGCGAAGGACGACGGACGTCGACCACGGCGGCGGACGACGATTGTGACGACGATTGACGACGGACGACAGACAGTGGACGACGACGACGACGCCGACGACGACGACGGACGACGGACGACGGACGACTGGTGACGACAGACGACGACGTCGACGACGGACGACGATGACCCGGCTACCCGACGACGACGGACGACGATGACGACGACGACGGACGAAGACGACGAAGGCGACGACGACGACGATGACGACGACGACGGAGCATGTTCGATGACATTGACGACGACGACGACGGACGAGAACAAGGAGTACAAGCGACGACGACGACGGGGGAAGCCCACTTCAACGACGACGACAATTAACGACGACGACGACGACGGACGACGGACGACGACGACAACAACAACGACGCCGACGCACAATGGACGACAGACGACGGCGACGAGGACGTCAGACGACGACGTCAGACGACGACGCCGACGACGACGACGACGACGGCGACCACGACGACGACGATGACGACGACGACGACGACGGACGACACGACGACCCGACGATCTGACGATGACGACGTCCGACGACAGACGACGACGACACGGACGACTGCCGACGGACGACGACGATGCCGACAACGACGACGACGATTGCTCGACGACCCGACGTGCCGACGACGATTTCCACGGACTACGGACGACGGACGACTGACGACGACGGGCGACGACAAGGACGGCGACAGTGACGACGACGATAATGACGACAACGACGACGATGGCTCGACGTTCGGAAGTCCCGACGACGACGACGACGGAACACGGATGACGGAGGACGACGACGACGACGGACGACGACACGGACGACGACAATGGCGACGACGACGGACGATGACGAACGACGACGGACGACGACGACGAGGTCGACGGACGACGACGGAAGACGACGACGACAACGAACGACGATGACGACAACGGACGACGACGGATACGTGGACTACGCCCGGCAAGGATGGACGACGACGACGACCGACGACGAAGTTGACGACGACGACGGACGACGATTGACGACGACCACGACGACGGACGACGATCAGACGACGACGACGGACGACGACGATAATGCCGCCGACGACGACGACCACGATTCCGACGACGACGACGACGTCGACGATGGACGACGTCGTGACTGACGAGGACGACGACGACCCGACTGCCGACCGACGGGGACGGCCTCGGCTCCGCGGCCCCCCCCTGGCGAGGCGGCAAGAGTGGCCTGGTCCGCGCGCGCCGCTGCCTTGGCCTCCGGCCTGCGCGGCGTCGCAAAAAGCGGTAGACGGAGGAGGAGGAGGAGGTTCGAGGAGGTTCGAGGAGGTTCGAGAAGGAGGAGGAGGAGGAGGAGGAGGAGGAGGAGGAGGAGGAGGAGGAGGAGGAGAAGTTGAGAAGGAGGAGGAGGAGGAGGCGGAGGCGGAGGCGGAGGCGGAGGCGGAGGAGGGGAGGATGAGGAGGAGGAGGAGGAAGGAGGGAGGAGGAGGAGGAGGAGGAAGAGGAGGAGGAGGAGGAGGAGGAGGAGGAGGAGGAGGAGGAGGAGGTGAGCTGGAGGACGGAGGGACGAGGAGGAGAGGAGGAGGAGGAGGTGGAGGAGGAGGAGAGAGCAGGAGTAGGGGAGGAGGAGGAGGAGGAGGAGGAGGAGGAGGAGGAGAAAGAGGACGAGGACGAGGACGAGTACGAGGACGAGGGCGAGGACGAGGAGGAGGTGGAGGAGGAGGAGGAAGGTATGGTTCGAGGAGGAGGCGGAGGAACAGGAGGAGGAGACGGATGAGGAGGAGGCGGAGGCGGAGACGGAGGAGGAGGAAGAGGAGGACGAGGACGAAGACGAGGATGAGGCCAATGAGGAGGAGGAGGAGGAAGATAAGGTTCGAGGAGGAGGAGGAGGAGGAGAAGGAGGAGGAATACTTGGATGTTGATACTGGTGATGACGCTGCTGCTGATGATGATGCTGCTGATGATGATGCTGATGATCCTGATGATCCTGATGATTATGATGATGATGATGATGATGATGATGATGATCATAATGATGCTGATCATGCTGATCATGCTGCTGTTGATGATGTTGACGATGCTGAGGCTGCTGCTGATGATGATGATGATGCTGATGCTGATGCTGATGCTGATGCTGATGATGATGATGATAACTATGGGGAGGA